GGATGGATCTGTGACTGCGATTGCCATTCTAACCAATATTATTCCAATGTACTCCCCCATGTGTCTGTCTGTGCATCTGTTGTCTCTTGTTTTATAGTTAGTTTGTAAGCTCTTTGGGGCAGAGACCATTTTTTTCCTGTTCTGCATACAGTGCCTAGCACAAAAGAATCCTAGTCCATAGTTAGGGCTCCTAGGCACTATGTATTAAATATAACAATAATCTTTCACGTACTGCGGAAAAGATTCTGTTCCAACCTTTCATGCTTATGCCCTACAAACCTCCTTAGCACACTGCCCAGTTACTCAGACTGTGCACTGACAAAAGAATTTAGCCCTTAATATTTATAGTCCATTTGAACATACAGTAGGTCATAATAGCAACATTCTCATTAAATTAATGCCCTGTTTGCATTATGTGAGCATTTCTTTGACAGAAGCAAGTACCAATAAGTGCTACTTAATTATGGGATGTTACAATTAATTTGTGTCCTCCATATTTGGCTTGTCACCAGTGAAGTTTCATGCATTATAAAAAGGGTTTACCTTGGAGTATAGTTTTCTAAAGGTGGTAAACATGGCCTTGCTCTGGGTTTTCTATATAAGAATCCTATAAAAAACCCAATGGGTGTACTCTGTACACATCCAGCCCATGAAATTCACCTCCTTTTGAACCTGATCTTGCATCCCTTGCTCTCTCAAAGCCACTGAGCACTTAGGAACAAGATTTTTGTTCAATGAACATGAACATTTCCATAATTCCTGGTAAGTATCATTCTCACGTGTTCTGCTCTCAGGCAATATGCAGATGGTATATAAAACATTGACATGGACAACTTTAATAAAGTGAAGAATCCTGAAAAATGACTGTTTTCCCCAGGAAATTGTTCATCCCCTTTAATTTTGTGACAACTATTACATAAGCAGGCAGAAGTACATGAACTATATGAACTAATGCACTGTTCTCTTTTTCTAGAAAAATATAGCCGGTTTTACAAGTATATGTGCATTTCCCCCTCTGGTCAAGCTGTGTGAGAAGATTAAATAGTATGTATGATATTTGCAGTTCTTAGTCACAGACATCATAATATTTGTGATACTTGTTCCTTTTAAGAAGTAAAAATATATTCAGACTTAGAAGGGCTTTGTTCTCCTTATGTAGATAACATTGTTTCCCATCAGAAACATCTTTTAAAAAGTATAGCAGTTAAGGTGCTTGTTTGCTCCTGGAGGAGGATGCTAGAAATGTATTTGATTATTTTTAATACTGAAAACAAAAATATAACAGTGGTGGTAGAAGGACATGCAGACCCTCTCCCAAACTGGGGTATCCTGGCATCTTCCCACACATACACCAAACATTCCATGTCCACAAGCCATTTTATCATCTAGCACCACTTCTCCTTACAGATTACCTATCTCCAAAAGACTTGCCCATATTGGTCATTTACCCAGTTACTGTGCTTCCTGTCGCACTGGAGAGAAACATGCTTTCCTTTGATCACAGCAGGTAGCATCTGTATAATTCTAAAAGGCACAAAATAAAGAACGCACAGGCAAAATGCTCAGCTACATGGACATTAAAGCTAGAGTCTCAGTAAAGGAACTTATAACTGGGCATTGACTGGGCTACTAGTTTCAGGGAGCATCTGTTGGAATAGAGAATGTATGGATTAGAGGAATAATACCTGAAGCATATCTAGTAAGTAAGGGATAAGAACACAGAAAGTATTTTTCGAATGACCCAACTCCCCAGCCCAATTTGTTCAGTAAAATTTCATTCTTGTGAGTGAACCTCAAATATCAATAGTAGGAGTTGGGGCGATCTGTGTAGACATGTTAGTCTAGAGAGTCTGTAAAATCCATTAAGTCAAGGCCAGAAGTATTATGAGCAGGGAGAATAGAAGATTTAGCTCCATGAGTCAGATAGTGCTAGTAGGAGCCAAAATTTACATACACATTATAAAATATATGCCTGATCAACAATGTTCAATTCCCTCCCCCCCATACTTGGCAGGATAGATTTTCCACTTTGAACTTGTTCTGGTCTATGCCACTTCCTTTCAACTTACACTAGTCACAGACACTGAATTAGCCTAAAGCAATCAGCACTTTTGAAATACTGAGTGCATGGAGAACCAGGGTTACAACAAGTACAAATAGAACTATCTCCATTGGTTCTTCAGTGCCTGATGCTAATGTACTTTGAAACCACCTAGGCTAGGAACAGCAGCTTAGTTTTTTGACTCTGCTTCAGCAGCTCTCGTGTCCAAAAGGTTGGAAGCTCTTTGAAGGTCATATGCCAAGTTTCCCAAGGAGATGATTCTTAGCATGTCATGCCAAGACCACCACCTGCTAAGCAATACATAGGAATGCTTGTTTCACCACTAAAGACAGATGCTAATCTGCTTTTCCTAGCCAAGGACAGATGTCATAATGTGTAGAAAAGCTGCAAGATCCATGGGGTCCAGTATGCTGTCACTTCACATAATTCAGAAAGCATTAGGCTAGTCTTACTGCAGATTTTATTTGCTAGCTTATTTTAGGAATTGAGTGCCACATTCTAATGTTATGCAGGGGTAACTCCATTGAACTGAGAACAGAGTGTCTGAAATCGATACCCTGAAATGCAGAATTGATACACAGAAATGCGGATACTTGTGCCTGAACATGGAGTGAGGAATTAATTAGCTATCAGCTTGTAGACTTTCATCTTTGGATTGCATTTTTGGTTCTGAAACAAAGTATTGTGGGGTGTTTTTTTTTTTTTTTTTTTTTACAGCATCATAAAAAATAAGTTACCTTATGAAGACCTTGATGGAGATAAATTTAGTGCTTTCCCAGTAAGTAAAGTTTCTTTTTTTTTTTGGTGGGATCATCCCTTATTGACAAGAATCTCTCTGAAATTCCTTCTAACTTTCACAAAACCTTTTGCTTTCATGGGAGAGCATAGGAGTTGAGTGAGAGAAGTTTTTATGATAGCAGGTAATTTCTTTTTGTAGGAAATTGGAAGAAATCATTCATTTGTGCCATTTTTGGAGATAGTTATGTTGTCTGCAGAAGCAAACAGGTCTGCCGCTGAGTAATATGTTTATTGAATTAATAAATGGCAAAGCAAAGCCGTGTAAAATTTAAAATTGGTGGCTTCTCTTATTTCTGTATCAAAATTAACACAGCATCATTTATTAAAGCTAAGTGTTGGGCATTTAGAATAAAACCCATTTACCAGGCTTTATTCCCGCACCTTGAGTTAGACTCTCATTTTAGATACAGTATTTGAAATTTTAAAAAAAATTAAAAGAGCATCCTATTTGTGCTTCTCTTGGCTTTTAGACCTTAAGGGGATATCACTGGAGAGGCAGAGACTGCAATGAAGGAACAACAACAGTGTATCCTGGTAGACGGTAATCCTGTTAATTATTTTTAGATACGCATGTTAAAAAGAAATGTTTTACATTTTTTGGCCAAATCCTAGAAGCATATGCATTATTAGTGTTATTATTTATTAATTTGTATTCTGAGAGCACCCAGATGGGACCCAAGGGCGATAGATGCTGTACAGGAACACAAAACTTGCAGTCTAAATAGACAGGACAAACAGGGGATGAGAGGAGAGGCAAAGAGAAGCACAGGAGGTGAAGTGATTTGACAAAATGTCACATAGCAAGTCAGTGGCAGAGCCAGGAATAAATCCCAGTTTCTTGAGTCCTAATCCAGTAGACTATACTGTTTCCCATCACTTCCTCCTTGATTTGACTGGAGGTTGCAGATCAGGCCCTTTTGACACTTTTTGATTTTCAAAGTGAACTCCTATTTATTTGGTATTCGCTAGAAGTTGGCTATACTGTTATACTGGTACAGGAAGTATTGCAGAAGAGCAATTAAAACTAGACAGAGTAGGGCATAGGAGAACACACATACATGCACTGTTGTGCCCTCAGATGCACATGCAAGGTTCCCACTGAAATTACTGAGAGCTGTACAGAAGCAGAAACAGGCCAATGAAAGGAGGAAAAGTTCGAGTTTGAATATTATGTGCGTTTAAGAGTAGCACACAGCCCTCAGTCCACATGTGTGGCTCCTACCGAGATGGATGGAAATTTCACCTATAGATGACTGGTTAGATACAGGCTCAGATTCCAGTCTCACTAACATTGGCATACATTCGATGTAAGTACTATTTTCCCTCAGACCACGTAAATAACTCCCACTTGCATGAGTGGAACTTGCATGCACATACAGAGTGGAGAAAGGTACAGTTCTGCCCTTTACTATACCCATGCCATAACATTTTTTTAAAAGGTTTCTGCTCACACAATTGCATCACCAAGCACCCACAGGGTATAAATCCCCAGAAATATTGTTTTAAACCTGTCCCCTAGACAAGATACTTGGCAAGTCCTGAATAGTTTAAAAAAACAGACTAAGCAGAATTATGTTCCACTCACACTGGGCAACACAATTGTATTAGCAGAAACAATCTTCTAAAACCACAGTTAACACAGGAGAAACTTAAGACAGGGCCACAATATAAATTGAGAATGAGCCAGTTGTACTAGCTCAATGTTTCCCAAATGGTGAAAATAAGGGTTCCGTGAGAAAATTCCATTACAATAACATTTGATGACTAAAAAAATAATTAATATTAAGCATTTATTAATTTTATTGAAAACAATTTTCATTTGTGTTTGCCACAATAAGTGTCCCTGTGTAATGCCAGCTTCGCCAGAGAATGGGGACAATGATGTCACTGCTCAGCGCTGATGTCCATATATTAGACTGTTATTAGGGGTTCCACACAATTCTTTCGAGTTTAAAAGGGTTCCATGGCCAAGTAAAATTGGGAAACACTGTTCTAGATGATGGGCCTGATCCAAAGCTTGCTGAAGTCAATGGAAGCCTTTTCATGGACTTAGTGGGGCTTGGAATCAGGCCGTCAATAAATGTTGATGATATTTGAAATAGTGTCGAACCAGGGAAGAAAAGGGTAGAGCCAGTTAAGTTCAGTGGTAGTGGAGGCCACAAAGACTTGTGGTATATTTTCATTAAAACTGGAGGGGTAATTTTCAGCTCAGGTAGACATATCTGTGGTATAGAATCATAGGGTTGGAAGGGACCTCAGGAGGCCATTGAGTCCAACCCGCTGCTAAAAACAGGACCAGCCCCTCTGACCAAAGACCGGGGTCACATTAAAATAACAGTGTAGGCACATGGCCAGGGCTGAGGATAGAAATGCTGGGTCCCTGGGCCAGATAGGAAGGGCAAGCTTCAAGCCTCCCTCCCAAAAGAGAACCGCTACCAAATGGTCTGCTGCCCAGACCACGCAGCTAGTAGTATGCAAGGATGTAAAGGGCCCAGAGCTCCAGCCACTGCCCTGGCTATGGCAGCAGCGGTGGCAGCCTGGAGACCCAGACCCTTTTAAATCATCAGGGCTTGGAGCAGGCTGCCCACTTTGTCCCCGCTTGTTGGCAGCCCTGAGCATCAGAATGAGCCAGTCACCGCAACTATGTATGTACAGTTTCAAATGAGATTGCACTTGGGGCAGCCAGCCCATCCTGCTGCCCATGCAGCTGTAGCTACGCTAGTATTCTTCCCATGTTGCTGTGGGTGTGTCTATTGAAGCTGGGAATGACACTCCAGCTCCACGGAAAATATGTACCGACTTAGAATTACTCAGCATCTTGAACAGGTGGGCTCTAAATTACTGATCTGTGGGGAAGAGGTCTTGGGGGGATTTCACTTCTCTTAAATTCTGAAAAGAAAAATGTATGGACAAGTTGAAATGTCTAATTATTCTCTTCTAACTGCTTAAATTTGTTCTCCTGCCTGTTTGATCACCTCCAGGGAACACATGTGCTTTGGGCATTATAGTCTTGTAGAAAATGGACCAAGAAGGCTGGTTTCCTTGAAATGCGCAAAGCATTTTACCATTAGCCCTATGTGATTATTTGTAATGCCAAGTCTCTTTTTGTAATTCTGTATTAGCCCTGATAATTGGGATGTGGAAAGGGATTCTAACTGTAATGGTATATGGGTAAGTAAATTATATTAAATCTTGACATTTCTTCCTGATCTCCTCTCCTTTCTCTTCTTCCTTCCTTCCACTCACCCACCCCCTATTTTAGAATTAGTCTGCAAGTGTTTAGACTATTTCCAATTACATACCAGATTGTGAGATCACAAGTAATATCACTGAAGTCACTGGGTGTACTTGCAGAATATGCTGCTACTACTTGTGAGTAAAAGATATCTCTCTGGGTGGGTGGAGAGAAACATCCAGAGCTTTCTGAAACATGAATATCACTATACTTCAGGTTTATAGCAATAAAACCCAATTATACAAGTGTTTCCTGGCCTGGTGCTTTGTTTTCATGTGTTAAGGGGGTGATTGTTTTGCCAAAGTTTCAGGCATCTTATGAAGTTCTGTGAGTGCAACATCCAAAAGGGAATGCCTAGAAGTTATAAGTATAACTAGAAGTATAGTGCTTCCATCGACATACCTGGAGACAATTGGGAAATTAAATGATCTACTGGAGAATATGGAAAAAATATGACTTTTATAGTGCAGCATTTGAAAGAGACATCAAATCCAAATTAAATCCAAACCAGATGCCACTTGAGAGCTCTGAAACAAGATGCTATTTAGATTACATTGGATTTAACACCACTCCAGTGACACAGTAAGACCTTTGAACTTCTTTGCAATCTCTCTTTTTAAAAAAGGGAACTCCCAGACAAAAAACTTAGTTATAAAAGAATTAAGGTTATAATTAAATCAACATTGTGATAAGATATTTCTTAGAAACAAATATTCTAAATGAAAGTCTTACACTTTGATTTATGCTGTCACTTTAGAGGTATCAAATAGACTTTTTCTCTTCCTTTTTCTCCTCTAACAGGGTGTAGATCCAAAAGATGGAATTCCATATGAGAAAAAATTCTGTGAAGGTAAATCATTAAATTTAATACATGGCTAATTCAATATTTATGTTACATATATTTTTATACAAAACAGCCACGGTCATTGTAAATCTAGAGAAAAGAACAGATTTCACATCTTCTTTACAGTGACAAAAATGGCAAATTCACTCCTTGCTTTAATATGAGGGGAAAAACTCAAAGGGTGCATCTAGACTGGCAAGATTTTCCGCAAAAGCAAGTGGTTTTGCGCAAAAACTTGCCAGCTGTCTACACTGGCCGCTTGAATTTGTGCAAGAGCATTGACGTTCTAATGTAAGAATTCAGTGCTTCTTGGGCAAATAGTTTGACGCTCCCACTCAGGGATAAACCCCTAAAATGGCCATCGGAGCTTTCTTGTGCAAAAGCGCGTCTATACTGGGCATGGATGCTTTTGCGCAAAAACACTTTTTGCGCAAAAGCATCCGTGCCAATCTAGACGCTCTTTGCAGAAATACTTTTAACGGAAAAACTTTTCCGTTAAAAGTATTTCAGCAAAATCATGCCAGTCTAGACGCAGCCTTAGGGCATATGTTGTTATAAAATTGATACTAACTGAAAAATTATTTAAAAAGTGAATTTAGGACTGAGAGATACCCAGCTGAGAGCACTGAAATTTATTTTTTTAATTCATAGACCAGATACAGTGAGGGTAGATGGAGAAGAGACTTTTATTCATCTTGCCAAGCTGAAGTTGTAGGGACTCCCTCTAGGAGTGAGAGGACACTTAAGTTGATATGCATATCTCTATGCACTTCACTTTAAATGCCACAGTCCCGACGGCTTCCTTTACTTCTCCAGAAGGAAGAGCTCTGGAGGCTGGCAGGGGCTCCTCTCAGCAGTCTATTTAGGTGTCTACACTAGACCCGCTACATTGAATGCTAGAAGATCAAGCTCTGGAAGGTTGATCTTCTCTGTAGTGCAGACATACCTTATGAAATGGACAGATACTAACAGCTCAGGCCACTTAAACACACACACGCATGTGTTATAACATGCTAATATTAAAAAATGATAACTTTCAATTGATATCTATATTGACTCACATTATATTAGTGACTTGAAGATGAAAACCTCCTTTGTGGAGCATTTTATCAGTTTAGATGGAAAGTGCTAAGTAACATTAATTATTAAAAAGTGAGATTGTTTCAATGAAACTGCCTTTAAGAGCCCCTGACTCACAAATCTAGTCTTAATATGAGTCATTACCATTTCTCTGATTATTCTGGTTTCCCTAAATGTTTGGTTTTAAGTATTTTTAATAAATATTCCATGAGTTGTAAAAATGAATGTTAGCTTCACAGCAGAGCCTGTGTTAAAATAACAATTCCAGCTTTGAATGAAATCTTATGGGATTCTTTCTCATTAAGCAAAAAGTGTTCTCTCTCTCTCTTGCTCATTCATACAACATGCCTACTTGTTTTTCGTAGATTGTTGTCACATCTGTTTAGCCAGGCTTTTGGTGCAGATGGAGTAAAAATCTCCTGTTCTAGGCTCTGAAATGAACACATTTCAAACACAAATAGTGGCCAATGCCCTATTTCCATTTTGCACACTGAATATACCAGTGCCGTTTCATTTTTTTTTTATCTTCATCTTGTTGGGGTTTTTTTTATACAGAGATTTACTTTACGGTGTGACAAAGGCCAAAGGAATTTTAAAAACTACTAATGAAATGTACTTATTAGATGCGGAGTCCAAGGGGATCATTTTGTTGGGAGATTCAGCCGGAGCTCACTTTCACATCCCTCCTGAATGGATGACAGCAGCACAGATGTCTCTGGTAAGGAATTCTGTTCTGCTCATTGAAGCAATGCCAGCCTCAGATTGAAATGTGCTATCTCTCCTATTACATAGGGTGCCAACAGAGAACAGGTGCAAAATGCCCTTTGTTTTGGAAATCCATCGCATTTTTGAAGGAAATTTCCATGCAGTGAATTCTGCAGAGTGTTGGGAAGGGGAAACATCTCAGTCTATGCCAAAATGACTGCCAAAGAATTCTTTTAAAAACAAAATAAAGTGTCACATTTATAAGACAAAGACACAAATTCTTTGCTGCTATGACCAATGTTGCCTCTAATTTTTTCCATCCATGTGCAGAATACATTTTGTTATTTGTACCCAAGCATGTGTGGATGTGCACCACTGGTACAAGTACATGCTGCCAGCTAATCAGCTGGGTGGCATCTGAATGTCTGCTGGGTGGCTGCCTAAGTGCTCCATTTACAGGGAACACTGGCCATGACTCCTTTGATGTGAGTACAGTTTGGGGCCAAATTCTTTGCTGGCCTAAGCTCCACTATTGCACAGAAAATAAAACCCGTTGGCTGTGTCTAGACTGGCCAGTTTTTCCGGAAAATCAGCCACTTTTCCGGAAAAACTTGCCAGCTGTCTACACTGGCCGCTTGAATTTCCGGAAAAGCACTGACGATCTCATGTAAGATTGTCAGTGCTGTTGCGGAAATGCTATGCTGCTCCCATTCGGGCAAAAGTCCTTTTGCGCAAAAGGGCCAGTGTAGACAGCTGAGATTTGTTTTCCGCAAAAAAGCCCCGATCACAAAAATGGCGATCGGGGCTTTTTTGCGCAAAAGTGCTTTTGCAGAAAAGCGTCCGTGCCAATCTAGACGCTTTTTTCCGCAAATGCTTTTAACGGAAAACTTTTCTGTTACAAGCATTTGCGGAAAATCATTCCAGTCTAGATGTAGCCAGTATGTTTATGCTGGAGCTGAGTCTTGACAACGTGTATGAAGCAAGCAGGAGGGTTTATTACACACAGCACTGGTGGAGTGTCACTTCGCTTGTTAGGCTTGGTGAACACTGCCAGACAATAGATTACAATTGATTATATAGGATGCTGATGGGCAGAAGAAGTGATGTGGGGGGGAGGGGGGAAAGGAAGATCCCAGACCCCCGGATAGGTGCTAACCATGAGGCGAAATGAGAGCAATAATCTGAAAGGTTACATAATGTTTTCCACCCATAGCTTAGGGTATGTCTACACTACCCCCCTAGTTCGAACTAGGGGGCGGGTAATGTAGTCATACGGAGTTACAAATGAAGCCCGGGATTTGAATTTCCCGGGCTTCATTTGCATGAAGCCGGCCGGCACCATTTTTAAATGCCGGCTAGTTCGGCCTCCGTGCCACGTGGCTACACGTGGCACGGACTAGCTAGTTCGGATTAGGCTTCCTAGGGTACATGACAATTGCGCATTTGTTCCTAGCACCATTGAATGTGCTATGTCTTGTCTCTCACCTGTAGGGCCTTTCCCTGGAATGTGATTGTCTGCGTTGTTATCTCTAGGATGACTTTCCTCCATGGGCTAAGCAGGGCCAGGGGTTCCCTTCTACTCATGCAACTGTGCCTTTGACCTATGTGTTCATAGGCCTGTTCCAGACTTGAGATTTGGGATAGGGGTTCTTAACAGAATATCATAGCCTGCCTCAGAAATTTTTACCCTACAGTTTGGCTTTATCAATGCAAGACTTGGGGGCGGGGGGTGGGAATGTTGTTTTGCAATCAGGCCCAGTTCTGTAATCCTTTCCTAGTTTAAATATTATGTATATAAGGAGACTCAGGGTGCATCTACATGCAGCATTATTTCAGAATAACGGCCATTATTCCAAAATAACAATGTGAGCATCTACCCAGCAATTTCGTTATTTCAAAATAAATTTGAAATAACGGATGGCTTATTCTGACTTCTGTAAACCTCATTTCATGAGGAATTAATGCCTATTCTGAAATAGCTATTTCAGAATTACAGAAGTATGGATGCTTCACTGCAGCTATTTCGAAATAGCTCCTCCCCAGGGCCATTCAAAGTAATTACCCTTCACCTCCATTGCCTCCAAAGCCTCCAGTGCCTTATCAAGGTAGCACACTCACATTAGGGGAGCCTGCTTCGGACTAATTTCAGGCTTCCTTGTAGTGTAGATGTGCTATTTCAAAATAAGCTATTTCATGGAAAAAATCAGAAATAGCTTATTTCAAAATAAGCGTGCTGTGTAGATGTACCCTCACTGAATTCAATAGGTCTCCTTGTATTAACATTGCTCACTGAATAAGGACTGCAGAATTTGTTGAGAGTCTAGCTGGAAAGCATTCGTCCTCAGTTCAAGGCCTAAATGTCATAGTTTTTATCCCATATGCACATAAAGAGCATGCATGTGGCATGTGACTGTGTGTGTATGTGTTGTGGCAAGGTCCTGGCTCAGGCCCCTTGCCCTAGGACACCTTCTGGTCCACACATCAGCCAGAGACCCCCTCTGGTGCAGTCACCCATGCCTTTTATTGTCAGCTTCCCAGCACCTCCTGTTTACAAAGCTTTTGGATTGTGGCAAACTCAGCCAGCCTCCCCTTCTGGCTTGGGGGCACCCTCACCCCCTCCTTGCTCCCTTCTTGGCTCCTTTTCACGGCCTTATATAGCCCTCTGGCTAATGAGGCCGACAGCTGTTTCTAATAGACCTTTAGGCCTGGCCTTGTTCAGCTGGTTCTAACTGACCTTTTCAGCCAGGCTGCAGTGGCAGAGCTCTGGGTTAGCCAGCAGTCTGTCACAGTGTGTATGTGAAACCAAGGATTCACTGCACTAGTATTAAAGGAAAGAGATTGTACAGGGGACTCTATCAACACCATAATGATGGCTCTTCATTTGGGTCACATCTCAGCATGAGCTCTTCATGTTTTTCAACTGGAAAAAAAAAAGCCAGAACGTAAATTATACTAAGGATGCAGATATTGCAATTGCAAGGTGGAAAGAAAAGGTCAGGGGAGTAAGTCACTTGAAAAAATCCTCCAATATGCCCCTTTCCTTCTCTTTATTCCTCACTGAACAGACATCCTTATGTTGCACAGATTTGACCCACTAGTTGAGAAGGGTTGTATATTAATCCCTCTGGAGTTTATCAGCACTGCATTTGGGTCAGCAGCAGCAGGATTGCTCAGAAGTGACACAAAGTTAGCTGAAGAAACTGAATTTCTCTGTAGCATGCTAAACCCACACTGGCTCCTGAGGAAGAGGAGCGTGAAAAATGTGCCATTTGAAAAGAAAATATTCAGTGTCGATCATTACAGCATTCCTGGTGGCACGCAAATTTCAGTCAGAATTGTATGCATTTTCCATCATTCACTTTTAAAGCTGAACTGATTTAAATGTTCTCGATTAGCAGTTGTTTTTCTTCGTTAATAGTTTGAGAGATGATTAGAGGAATGACATTGATGACAGGGCTGATGATGGAACATAATGAATTAGTGGTAATGATAATTGAGATTATCTTGTCTAATAAATATGGTAATGATACTGACGATGATGACAATAACAATACAATAATAAAATGATGTATTCAAGCTACAATTTTAGACTGTCAGCATTTCTATTATAAATCATTGATGTTTAGATTTTACAACTTTTCTATAAACAGTTTCTCGAGGCTGAAACTTGGCACATAACCTTTCATATTCACAGCATATTTCCTACATGAAATGCAATAAAATTGGTTTTAAGATGTGTCAGGATTATCCAGTTTCTTTTTAGCACAGGTTTAACCCTTGTATAGTTAAGGTTAATTCCATGCCTTCTTCTGATTTAAAAAACTACTTACTGGAGGATTGGATGCAGGAGTGGATTTTAGCTAGCTGAGCCTCAAAGGCACTACAATTGTAGGGCTTCCTCAAATTCAGTGTCTCCTAGAGAGACATTCCAGCCACCTCATTCTTGAACTAGCCATTTCCTCTCCCTCTCTCATCCCAGCTGAGAAGAAGGCCTTAGTCCCTATCAGGTTCTTCCTCTCAGTCTAGCCCTGAAAGACTCATTCATTTTCTTATTACTCAAGTAGTGCAGTATCATCCGGTCCAGTCCATCACGGGCCAACTGTTCCTTGCTTTGTCCACATATAAAGCAGGTCTTCTCTCATGAGAATCAAACTGATTCCCTTGTAACTTGTCCCTGTTGGTCTACCCTCCAAGCCCTGCTATGATGCCTGCAGTGTGCCCTTCCCGTGTGTTGCTCAATCCGCTGACAATTAGTCTTACACTCATTCAGGTTAGCTCAGTAAGGCCATGTCTACACTACACAGAAGATTGCCGCTTCCATGATTGATCTTTCAGAATTTGATTTAGCGAGTCTAGTTAAGACTCGCTAAATCAAACTCAGAGAGTGCTCCTGGTGGCGACCAGTACTCCTGCTCTTGCCAGGAGTAAGAGGACACCACCACGCTTGACTTAAGGTAAGACAACTCCAGCTATGTATTCAACAGCAGCATGGATTGTCCCCCCGCACTCACCATGAGGGTGGCAGGAGCCAGAAAGGCCCAACAGCCTCCTCTGCCCTGCTGCACGACTCTCTTCCAACCTGCTGTGTCCTGCTTCCCTGCTGTGTGCCCTGGGGCTGCTTCCCACTACTGCTGAGAAACCAACTGCAGCTGGCTAGGGAGGGTGGCACAGCAGGGTGGAGCAGGCTTCTGGGCCTCTCTGGCTCCCACCACCTGCATGGTGAATATGGGGGGACAATCCCTGCTGCTGCTGCACTAGGTGCCTCAAAACCCTCCAGGCCACATTTCTCGGGAGAAGAGGCAAGGACAAACTATTTCACTGGGAGAGTGGTGAAGCACTGGAATGGGTTACCTAGGGAGATGGTGGAATCTCCATCCCTAGAAGTGTTTAAGTTCCATCTTAACAAAGCCCTGGCTGCAATGATTGAGTTGGGATTGGTCTTGCTTTGGGTAGGGGGTTGGACTCAATGATCTCCTGAGGCCTCTTCCAGCTCTAGGATTCTATGGGCCAAGA